ATCGGCGCCCATGTCACGACATTAGAAGATCACGTTATGATCATAAAAACGCAGGGAAAAAACATACAATTCCGATTTTCTGAGAAACAGCCCGAGGCAACTTTACCACACTGATTCCCCTTACAACTTTTTAATGAAAGGCTACCATGCGTTCGTTGCTCTTATTCTTTTTTGACCGATCAGTGCTAATGATCGTTACAACTAGGGCCAATGAAATAAGACAGCTTCAATGAGACGCACGACGAAGTCCAGCGTGAATTGCATCAGACTGAAAACTACTGCAGAGTACTAGGCAGAGTCAGTCCTTTTCGGGTCTATTTGTCCAGGAGTGTCTCAATCCACGCGTCACTCGGTGTGACCAGTGTCCTTTTGAGCTCATGCGGCGCAAAATAAGTAGGGTCATAAACCACACCGTGAATTGAACGTGACTCGTCCAATTGCAGCCACATCGACGCAATGAACATCAATAATACCGACGGGGTAGCCGACATTGCAATGGTCAGGATACAAATCACGTGCGTGCATGACGCTCTCAGAAAAAAAAACTTATTCGTGGAAGTCGTTAAAAATCACGATCAGAATCCAATCAATAAGTCTGGTGACGAGCGACTTACAAACCCATTTCGCTTTTTTATGCACATGTCGCTATTTCAGGTAAGTCTGGTGACGAGCGACTTACAACCCCATTTCGCTTTTTTATGCACATGTCGCTATTTCAGGTTTCATGTGAACTAAGAAAACATTTGACGTTAACAAAAAAAAAAAACATGAACATAAAACAGTGAACACTGACAGAAAATTAGTTTCTGTTTATGAAAAAGAGGGAAGTGTTGAGAGGAAGATGTCAGATGAGTGTCACCGAATACTTACGACCCACGTCAGGACTAAAGTCCAAGCGTAACATATCGATGCGGGGGAGGGGCCATTTTCACGACACAACTCCTCTTACTCGTCCCATGAGCCACGCAGCGACACGGAACAGGCTGCGTGTGAAAGAACATCACAATCACTCAGAGCATATTAACATTAGCTCTATGGGCGTTGCATGGGAAGAATGTGACCAAAAGTCAGCAGTGCCAGTGCCCCCCCCCCCCCCCCCTTAATTGAAGGTGTTCCGCCGCTACTGACTCAGAGAGCACTCCGATCACTTTCCTGTCACGCTAAACGTAAGGCCGCCAGACGTCATCAAAGGTCAAATTATCCCGAGTTCAAAGTGTTTTACAAATTGACTCGTAGTTTGTTACGTAATACAGTGGAATCCGCTTAATAAATCCACGGATAATAAATCCAGCCACTTATTCTGGCCGCTTCAGCTGTTCACGGATTTTCTCCATAGATACCCAACTAATAAATCCGCTTAATAAATCCACGTACTCCGCTTAATAAAGCCACTTGGGAGTTTCGAAGTCCGCAGTGACATCTTCATTGCTGATCACGAATATCATGTTAGTTTTGATCACAGATGATATCTTCATGTGCATGAAGATATCATCTTGATCAAAACTATTATGTCAGGTCTGGTCTGGTCAGGTCAGGTCAACCAGTAGGGGTCCTGCCGGGTATTCGTAGTAGTAGGTGTCAACCGCCTCTGACAGCTTCGTAACACGTTACGAAGGCACCAAAACTACTAAGTAAATATTCAAATGGCTGCTAAATTCGAATTCAGCTCCAAAAACTGGCCTAGAAACATGTTAAGTTCGAAAAGTGAACCGAGGTCATCAAAGGCCAATAACCTGATCTGACCTTCAGGTGACATTGACACCCACCCTAATGCATTGACGCAACATCATATCACATGTTTGAACGCTTGAAACCACGAAAAGACTGCAAACGCGCGGCTAATGCGAGCCGACATATGTACAGGTCTCGCGGGTTTTAGCGGTAGGCTTTGCACCGAGAAAATTTAGTGTACTTCAGGCTATATCTTCGTGAAGATGCCATCAACTTGTTGGTTCACAAGCCGGCCATGATCGTGTAAAATGGCTTCATCGTAGATCGATTAGTTCCTGAGATATAACCGAAAATGTAAAAGTGCAAAACCTACCGCTTAATCTCGCGAGAGCCGTATGCCGAATCGCGATTCGGACCAAACATGGTCTCGAAAAGTAGGTCACAGGTCAAAGGTCATTTGGGTCAGGGTCATGAAATTTTCAGAGTAAGTGTAAAATTGATTAACGCGAGGGTACTTAAAGTGTCGTCGCGATCGGCGGCTTTTTACCCGAGTTATTCGCGAAAACCGATGGGGGGAGGTCCGTTCGACCCTCTCCTCTATACGGGCGAGGGTTAAGTTGGCGAGTCGAGACAGCCACCACTGGACTCCGGAAGACCTGCCAAATCGAATAATATGCGATATGGCGCCTTCGAACGGCTTCGTGACCTGAGTGGCTTTGACATGACCTTGGCGTGTCGTGAGGTGAACAGTAACACCATATGTTGATGTCACATAAACAAGAAGCGTATCATTCGACGCATCTGAGCATGACGAACACGATGGTTCCAAAATCGTGGCTCTGACGCCGTGTTTGACAAAGTTATTCAACATTAACAAAACCCCTATCTAGGAACACTTGACCTGACTTGAGAGGTCACGGGTTGACTGAGACCTTAAATTTGAGCACCGGTCGCTGTGACGCTCGTTTTTTTTTCCGCCGCGATCTAGGTCAAAAAGGGATGAAATGACCGGAGGTTCCATCCCCCCTAATGCTATTTCTGTTTGTTTTTGCTGTCTCGTTAAGAAATAAGCCTACCTATACATTATACGCGGCTTTTGAGAGTCTGCGTTTTTTGGCGATTCAAAATAAAATTAACCCTCGCCCGCACATGCCATTTTGCCATCCTATAGAACGCACATAGGGGTTGCCAGTGCCACCCCCGCGCCATTTCGTTCCTGTTTGAGATAGAGCTTCGCGGTAAGACCAAAAAGATTCTTTGGGAAGAGACGAATCCAATTATACCCAGTTTTACCTGCTCAGGTCAGTCATTGACCTTCCAGGTCAGGTCAAACTTAAAAAAATGTTACTGTTTCGGGTCACCGTTGGATATCAAGTGCGCTGCTTAGCATATACCGAGGACGATGCCGTTTTCTGGTGCCAAGCCAGCTAGAACCTCTTTGTCACACTACCCGACCAGGTTTTTGCTGCTGAGGACATTTCAGGTCAAGTTAGGTCAAGGTCAATGATATGTGTTTGTATGTCTGTGTGTGTCTGTGTGTATACTGATGCGTGCTCCGATTGTTTATGTGTCCATATTACATGAAATCATGATCTGAGAAGCTTTTACCAAAAATGCAGTCAAAAAACTTCACGAAAAGTCGAAAAGTAAATTCATCTTGCCTAAAACGCAATTACCTAAGTCTAAGATGACCTAGGTTGACCTTGACCCTGACCTTGACATCTGTACATCGTCGAACAACAAGTTCCATGATAGGTGGAAGGAAAGACTGGCAAAAAAGGCCGAAATCAAGGTGGCAAAAGCTCACAAGGCCCATAGCCAACGCAAGATGTTGAGAATTGGTCATTTGGCATGACCTGAAAAACAAGGTCATATCTCCGAAACAAAAAACCACAGAAACTTTAAATTTTCAGTGGACATCAAGAAAGGATAGAGGAGCAGCTATACGAAAAATCAGGCTTCTAGCTCTAAAAATGTTGAGTGCAGAGCAGAAAAATTACCTGCGGGGGGGCAACCCCCCCCCCCACCCCCCATGTGCGGGCGAGGGTTAACCAGTCAAAGCTCTTGCCTCAACAATAAAACTTTTGCCATAGGCGGCGGAGTGGGGGGGGGGGGCACCGGGGCACTGTGCCCCCCTTTGATTTTGGCATTTTAACATTAGCCCTATGGGCGTTGCATGGAACGAATGGGACCAAAAGTCGGCAGTGTCCCCCTTAATTGCAGGTGTTCCGCCGCCACTGTTTTTGCAAGTCTTTTTTATTGAGGTAAGCGGTGCTTACCTTCTCTTTGTGTTGAGTAACCAGGATCATAAATGTTATGGTGGACCACCTAAGCACAAACAGAAAATTGTAAATCACGCACTGTTTAATTCAGCATTACCACTTATTCCTCCCAACATGCATTCACATGTTAACCCGGCAGGTGCTGGGGTATTTCGCCACCCACCGTTTGCTGGGGGGGGGGGGGGCGTTAAACGCCCCCAGCCGATAACTCGAGAACCAATAGGCGCAGCGAAACGCACGAGGCAGCAAACGAAAGAACGCGACGAGACGCTTCGGATGAGTACTTTAAAGTTGAATTTTGAGGTCACAGGTGGGGTCAAGGTCAGGTCAAACACCTGAAATCGGGCTTTCAGTAGCATGGACTTCAGGACTTCGCAATTGGCGCCTCTCGTCATAAACTCTGTCAAAACGGTGCACAATCCTTCATATAAGGCCTACAAGAGTGTCAGCTCCATGTAGAGGTCGGTCAAGCACAGGTCAGGGTCAAGGTCAGGTCAACCGGGTAGGCAAATATCCCCGAAAATCAAAACTGATATTCGCAGCCTGTGACACATGTTTTATGGGTAATTTGGGGCGTAGAACACGATGGTGACATTCATTTTATCATATGTGTACGTGTTTGGCTCAAAAAGATAAATTCAAAAAATGCATGTATCATGGTGGTGAGGTAGTCACGAGAAATTGCCGAGATTCAGTTCAAGATTTTGAAAAATGCGGAACGATAATCAATAATCGAAGATAGCCATTTGATTGTTCATGGTATTGGCAGTCTAATGACGTTTACGGCATGTCTGTATGTCTATTCTGTGATTTTATATGATTTTTTGAACATATGCCGTTTTTATTCGAAAACTCAGAAATCATGACGTCACTAAAACCTCGATATCTCAAAAAATTTTCGATCGATATTTTTGAAACTTTGTCACAATAAACTTCAATCAATTCTCTACAGGTACCCAAAATGTGGCGCGAGCGCCGTTTTTATGCTATGGCCCGGCGAAAAAAGTGGGGGCGTTTAACGCCCCCCCCCCCCCAGCAACTCGCGGGTTAAAAGAGGTGGAGTGATTGACCGTCTTACGTCCGGCGATGTGACGTCGCTAGTGTCGACGCCCCCCCCCCCCGCGTCGGTGTCGCTGCCCTCCCCGACGGCCGGCGCCGGCGGAGGAGGCACCTTTATAAGAGGCGGCCGATGCCGGCGGCAGCAGTCGCGCCAGATCCCGTGTACGACAGTGCCAAACAGGCGGAACATTTACAGGTGAGAACACGTGACATACGGAGGCGCAGCCCGGGAGACAACAGGTGAGTACCACGTGACTTCAAACGACGGACACAAGTCATGAACCGAATTCTAAAAGAAAGTGAGCGTGGTAAATGCGTAACATGCAAGACGAGATTATATTATGAATTTTTGTCATTTCCGTACAGTAAAAGATACTGATGCGCTGAAGGTACTATGAAGCGTTGACAAAATCGATCGAATATTAGCTTCGAAGTAAAAAAAAGTCACGCCTAAAACTAGGTCGATATCTGCTCGGGCCTCGGAGTGGTCACTTTTCTTTCACCTAAGTCCAAACGACAAGTATGCTCACTGAGCTGCACTGCAAATATGAAAACAAGAGATACTCCAACAATAAAGCGATGGGTAAATAAGTCCTTTATGAAAACTTTGGCTCGCCTTCGCGTTGAAAAAAGCGTAATCCGAAAGCACTCACAATCACTTTCATTTTATGCCTTTCTATAGTGTTTGAATTACAAAGCAGTTTTTCCTCCATAAACTTTTAAATGATAACACAAAAACGTATTTGAAGAAGAATCGAAATGATTAACAGGAATTCAAACCGTAAACCGCTCAAATTGTTTGGCCTTCATGTGACGCGGTCATGCTAGGCATGGTGCGGTCTACCTATCCGGCAGGGTTGCCGTATACACTAAACAACAGCGCAGAATGGGATGGGTAGCCTGTTTGGCAGTTGACGCATGACACTTCTCTTAGCACTGAACGTTTAAGGGGTTCAACATCAGCTTACAACCTCATATACATGATATATAGCTTTGCGTTTCTGATCAGTGTCCGTCCGTTATCATTGGATTTGTTAGCGGGGCACTGGCACAGATAAGAGTGATCCACATGCGTACCTAGGCTCCCGTGTCTGTGAATCTCAACACTTGGCCCTTCCATGGCAAAATCAGAATAAGGATGGGAGGATAGGACAAGGATAAGGAGGGTGAAGATATAAGGATAGAAGCCGCGGAGGTCTGGTGACCTCACCCTAAAGTGCCACAGGTCAGATGACCTGAGCTCCAAACGTAATAGGGACCTAGCGATCCGTCCTCTATTGTCTGAGGTCTGGACACCCAGCTCGAGCATCAGAGGCCTACCGGCTCGGCACACGCGTGGCTGCCGGGCGGTGTACCATTTCCGCAGTGTGGTTAGCCGCCGGCTGAGCGAGTTGTTACCCACCAGCCGAGACGATAGGGTTGCACATTAGGCCGTGTCGCCCCTCAGCCTGCCGGCCCTCGTTAGTCGCGGATACGATAGAGCGGCTCACCGCAGGAGGTGATCATGGGTGCCGAGAGGAGTGGGGAACGCACAGGAACCGAACAGGAGGAGGGGAGAAGGAATATGGAGCGGAAGGGGGCAACACAGGGACGGAGAGAAACGGGAGGGAAAGTGGACGTGCAGGAGCATAAAGTATTACGTAGACGTAGGGAGGAGGAACCGACGAGACTGGGGAGCTATCATCACACATTGGCGGAGCAGCCTCACTGCACCACTGGCTCTGCGTTCCTGGGACGTCTGCACTAACTACTGGCATCTCAGTGGTCGAACAATCAACAAAGTCGACAATCATGAATCACATATCATTTTTTCTACAGCTCAATTGGTTTAATGTTAGATCTGCGGGGTACGACTCCATGGCCATTTCAGCCCTAATTTGGCTAGACATTCGGGGTAAAAACGAACGTGTAGGACGCCACAAGACGCAGTAACTGGTCCCAAATTGTTTGAGTCTCAGATCAACTGATGAACTCTGAAATCAGGTCAACGACCCAAAGGTCGAGTTCCAGTTTTCAGAAAATAAGTTCGCCAAAAATAGCGGCATAACAATTTTGGTATACACCTTCTTTTTGTTTAAGGATGGTCATTGGTCAAACTGGGTGTTTTCTCAGGTTAATGTCAGGTCATAACTGTAAGTCAAGTTGGTCTAGGGAGGTCGTATTGTGTACCATTATTTGGCAGCTTATTCTGATTTTGGCAGCTTACTGGTGCTTTTTTCCCGACTCGCTAACTCAATTTGATCGGAAGTCATTGAAATAAATCCCAAAGGGCCTCAAATGTCCACAGGTGATCTATAAATCGGAAGGACATCAGAACGTGCTAAATGAAAACTTGATAACTGTTCCATGTCATTCCAAGTTCCATGTCCCTGCCAAAGATTCCATGGCACTAAAAGCGTTGGGGAGTTGCGACATTTTTGGACCGTAGGACTGGAGGCTCACGAATGACGCCATAGGCCAGTGGCGTAATCAGATCTGAATATGCGGTTGCTGTCAAAGCCTCTGTCCCGAATCAAAGGTCGGGTGTGTTAAATTTTAACTTTTATGTCCGATGCACTTCAAACAGTCACGAATAAATTATCAGCGGGTAGGTGGACTGGGAGCAGCTCCCATCAAACCGAGCTGGCCACAGTTGGATCAGATCACCACGTCAAGCCCATTGACCTCACCTCAAGAAAAGCATTAAAAACTCAGTCAAGACATGATTAAGAAATTCACGTAAAACACTTGTTGGTAAAGACATATTGTCGACAAGGGACCAAACTGTTGAGCTGATGTCAACACTGACAGCATGGCGGTTGCCTCGAAGTGCTACGACCGGACCATTACAAAGGGGCGGATGGATTAAACTAGTGTCCGGAGTGACAGGGCAAACCAATGTAGGACACATTATTCGTAGATCATCTACAGTCGGTGTGCAATCCTTCAAATGTGTGCCGAGCATAAGCACATGTAATGAGGCAGCCGATCAATGTCGCCCTTTGTGTCTCGCCCCGCGGCGGAACATAATAGAGAGAGAGAGAGCGAGAGAGAGAGAGAGAGAGAGAGAGAGAGAGAGAGAGAGAGAGAGAGAGAGAGAGAGAGAGAGAGAGAGAGAGAGAGAGAGAGAGAGAGAGAGAGAGAGAGAGAGAGAGAGAGAGAACTGTATTTACGGACTCATGGTCCAATTGTAAATGAGACAGAACCACTTTACACTGCCAACAGTGCCCGATTCCACACAGCCCTATATCTAGAGCGTATGCTCACATCACTGTTCACAAGAGCGCTCAAAACAGTGTTTTTGGTCAAACCGAGCCTTCGGAGAAATATCCATGATGACTTTCTGAACATAACATCAAAGCTATCAATGCCTTCGCGAACATGCATTGCAGAAGCACTACAGAATCTCTCGTAGCCAAAAAACATTCGAGCAGCATTATTCAGGCAAACCTTAAACTTGTTGATAACAGACACATTGAACACGTGCCAAAGGTGAAGGCAATATACAGTGGCACAATAGGACATATACAGAAACTTCTTTACCTGATACGAGCACATCGAGAATTTCCGAATCAGCGAGTTCGTTCGACAGCACAGTAAACGATATTGCTGCTGGATTTCCAAATTGTCAGTTGAGTCTTCAGAAATATCAAAACCTAAATATTTATAGCTATTCACATATTTCAGAGTTTCACCGCAAAGAGTAAGCTGTGGCAAACACATATTCTTGAACATTTTTGGGCGCAAGCACATACACACAGTCTTTTTCGTATTATAAACAATGTCATGTTCATTCGCATATTTTTCACATGTGTTTAGTAGGACCTGAAGGCCAAACGACGTGGGTGACAAAAGAATCATATCATCAGCATATGCTATGTGGTTCATACTACCTAGGTAGCGACAGCCAACACTAGTGTTATCAAGGCTCACAGACAAAGAATCAACATACAGATTAAACAAAAATGGTGAAAGAATGCCCCCCTGTCTGACCCCATTGCAAACAGTGAAGCCACTTGTAACGTACTGTCCCCATTGCGTATGAAATGATTGTGTACCATACCATTCCACGAGAAGATTTACAAGGCAAGCATCCATTCCCCTACGCAAAAGCTTGTCAAACAATTTCCAATGATTCACTCGATCAAACGCCTTTTTAGCATCAAGAAAGCACAAGAACACTGGGCTATTGTTTCGCAAGTAGTACTCAGATAATTCCTTTACAGCATATATGGCCATGTCAGTAGAGTGTGACGGCTTAAAACCAAACTGATGGTCACTGGTACAAAAGATGTCACGGCTACGATTTAAAACGATTGACTCCAGCACTTTGGAGCTGACACTCGCTAAGGCAATCGGTCAATAATAGTCCTACTCAACCCTGATTACCAATTTCCTTGGTATAATTATCAATGCTCTAGACGTTGTGCATGCAATACCGCACCGGCGATCCATCAGCTAGCCGTGACAGTTGTAATTCGGGCCTGTCACTTCGGCGCCGGTCGGCTATATCATGATTTACCACCCCAAGCGCGACCCATGACGATCCGTACCGTACTTATTGTTACCGAGCCGGCTGGTAGTCTGACGCATAACACGGGTCTCTCCGGCAGACAGCCGCAGCCATGGAGAGTTCCGAGGTCGCCCTGGTTCAAGGTGTCTGGCAGCAGGTGAAGCCCAAGAAGGTGCACCATGGAGTGGAGGTCCTCGTCAAGTAAGTTACTCGGGCGTGCCGTCCCCGGTCGGCTGTGTCCAGTAAACATCCGGCCGTGCTCCCAACAAGCCACTTAAACATTTCCGTCGACGGGCATCGTTTGAAAATTATGTCGGGTATACTCTATGAGGACAATATATTACCACCTTATTTTGCTTCACCTTATCATTTAGACACCTCTGATCGATTAAATAAGCTGTGAGAGGACCCGAAAAACGAAAATGTTTAAGTCAAATCTGCTGGAGCTAAACGCGCTTTGACTTCTCGAAGCGTTATACTCGTATGCATCTTATGTATTCATAGTTAGCTCTGGCCTGTAAAGGTTACTTATGACTGGTGCTTGAAAGGCGTGGGTAACATGATGTATGCAAGTCTGGGTAAATATCATTTGGATATTGTGTCTTTGAAAAAGCATTAGCTTGGTACGCTCGAGTGTTCTGTACGAGCTCTGTGTTCTTTGTATCCATTCATTGCCGCCTAAGGAACCAATCTCAATTGCAAGGGTTTGTAAACAATTGCCACTACATCAAACATTTGATTTTCATTAACCTAAATTCATGAAACGAAATATAAAAATTAAAAATCCTCAAAATGGGTAAATGAATATCTTTTGTGTAGATGTTTATAAAGGAACGCCGTCTATTCTATTGAGCAATCGCAAAGCAGCGGCAGCTTCTGCGTGCTTAAGAATAATCGTTCCGTTTACATTCACGGCAAATGAGCATGGTTACGAAGGCACGATCAACTGAATAAAGCTCATTTCAGCACGTAATTTATTGATCCTGTGAAGCATTGTTACCAGGATTACCTTTCCGCTGGTCGACCAAAATAATAGTAAATAGACGGATTGATTGCTTTATGTAGATGCATTTATATCGTAAAAGTGGATTAAACATAATCTTGATGCAATGGCTGTTCGATTTGACTCGAACGACTTTGACTTTGACTTCGATTTGACTTTGACAGCCCCCTGACACTGAACGCACTACAAAACACTCGGTTCAGGCATTTCAGGGAGACTTGTGGTCCAGCTTGCCATCCTCCTACCACGCCGTATCGGCAGCCACCGCGGGCTGCCCGCGATCAGATGACAACTGGTGAAGCTATTGCAAGCTTAGAAGGTGTCCCGACCCAAATGCACACAGAGCATCGCATACATACGCGCCCGTCTCCCGACTATCGAAAACGTCACGCCGTGGCCTAGCCTGAGGGCCGACTGATGCGGAGCAGTTCAAAAACTCGTTGCCAACGTTCCAACTGACACCTGTCTGATTAACTGAAACAACACGTCACGATTGCTAATAAGATGTTGATGGAATACGTATATACGCAAATATGTAGTACGGTATGCTGTTAGCGTTCATGTCATGTGCCCTTAGCAAGCATCAGAGGCCGAGCGGCGGCAGGCTATTAAGCACCTCAGACGACATTAACCGAAACAATATGATCAGTTTTCATGGGGATGGGTTCAGTTCTCCAGAGGACTCTACTGACTTCTTTGGACTTAAAAATTTAAGAGTAATTTGTTGGTCTGGTTTTGAGGTTTGCATCAATGAATCTTTTGGAAACTACCGACGTTTGGCACCACCGAACAATTAAACATGTGATGGAGTATCAGTTGTGTGAAAGGCCTCCTGACTGGGCATATCCGGTTGAGACACATGATGATTGGTCTGATTCATAAGCGGCGTAACGGGGGGGGGGGGGGGCACCGAGGCACCGTGCCCCCTTGATCCTTGATTTTGCCATTTTAACATTAGCCCTATGGGCGTTGCATGGAAAGGACCAAAGTCGGCAGTGCCCCCCCCCCCCCCCCCCACTTAACTGAAGGTGTTCCGCTGCTACTGGCCTGATTGACCTGACTCGAACATATCGCAGATTCAACCAGCGTGAATTTATTTTGGAATAAAATAAAACGAAAATCAGGACACAAAAATACCCGAAAATAACCTCATTTTAAGCGATTTCATGGCATGCACTATTTAGAGGCAATCATCATTGACCTGACCTGACAGGTAATACAAGGACCTATGGCCCCAACATCAGATATAATCAGCTTCCTCTCTCCACGAGCACCACGCATCACGTGTGTGAAGCTCTAAAACAGCTATATTTAGAGAACGAATGGCTGATCGGTGCGACCGAATCCCTCGACCCTTCCCCTACGCTAATGGCTGTAAAAAGCCGAGTTTGGACGAGAATGGGTGTGTACTGTGTAAGAGACAGTAATGCCCCTTCTCTCTGCCCACTGAAAGGCATGGTAGGCTCGACATCTTACGGCATGACCCTTTACTTGATTTGATCTTTGTACCTTTTCAGATGTGGATGTCTGTGGTTTGTGGCAATGCTGTGTCGAACAATCAGCATAGTAGGCACCACTCGACGCCTTACAGCTCAGGCCGATTGGCAGTGGCACCCTGACATCGTCCCCGGTTGGTCACCCCAGGGAGCCCCTGGCTCACCCCAGTGACATCCCCTTACCGCCCGCAGGCTGTTCGACAAGTACCCGGAGACCAAGGACCGGTTTCCGCGGCTCGACGTTAGCTCGCCGGAGGCGATGCGCGGCAATGTCCGCATGCAGGCGCACGCCGGCCGCGTGGTCTCCCAGCTGGGCGCCCTCATCGAGGACCTGGACAACATGAGCCTGGTGAATGAGACCATCTACCTGCTCGGCGAGAATCACAACAAGCGCAAGGTGCAGGCCAAGGACTTCGAGGTGAGTCTGCCATCGCCACGCTGCGGAGCGAGAATCAGCAAGGCTCGGAGCCATTCTTATTAAAGGCATCATCAAAGATTCGTAGGCATGGTCGCAACAACGGTGATAAATTGAGCCGGGGTTGCAGAGTGTATCCACAACTCAGAGCCACCATTCAAAGATGACATCTGGGCTCATTCCGAGGCTGCATGTCATGGCAAGCACTCAGTTGTGCCTTGCGACGGTGGTCGGACATTCCAGATGTCGTCCCTGTCGGCGGACCACCCACCGCCACTCGAAGCACTGCTCTCACCCGTCTCTGACGCGTCTCTTACAGAAATTCAACACCGTCTTCATCGAGTACCTGAAGGAGACTCTTGGAGGTGCCTTCGCGGCGGACGCGGAAGCCGCCCTCAGCAAGTTCATGGGCATCTTCGCCAGCAAGATGGCGGAGAACTTGGACCAGTAGTCGTCCTGGGCATGTCGGTACTGGTTAGCCGGTATACCACTGCCGCATACGGCATGTCTTCGGTCCCCTGGTCGGTCTTGTAGCCCTGTCGGATGACTGGGAAAGCCCGACCGGGACATATGTATCGCGCCGCGTATAGGGCGCCGCTGGAATCGCGTACCCGCTGGATGGGTGTTATACTGAGGCTGTATCCTGTGCGGGAAGAGCTCCGTAGAGCGTCGCGGGTTGGGAGCGGCCGAGGAGCGCCGCCACAGAGCTGAGAAGGGCCGCTATAGGCTGAGAAGGGCCGCTACGGGCTGAGTAGGGCCACCTGGGGTCAGGTAGGGCCACCAGAGAGATGCGCTTATGTCTCAATTGCGCCGGCGGGCACCGGCCTTCGAACACGGCTGTTAATAAACACGGGAGCGACAAGCTGCCCAAATGATGCACAATGGCTTTGACGGACATGTTGGCGCAGCAAGGTGACGAACTGACTTAGCGAGCTCACCATCTTTCTACCAACGGACTCCGAACTTTTCCCTCAACCGAACGGGTGTAACCCTGGTAAAGAGTAAAGAGACGCGTCATGGACGCTATTCACTTGGGATATCCGGAGTTTCCCCCAGCACCTAATGGTCAGTCAGTTCAGTCGAACATGGGACAAAACGAGCCGGAGCTAAAAGGAACCAAAAGTTCCAGCGGATGACACCTTGTATACCACACTGGATGCAACTGCGGAGCAGCGGACAACGCATTCGTCCCACTCAAATGTGTCCTACAATGGATACCATTGGGGAGTACCTCTCTAACTGACAATAAGTACTAACTGTAGATACACTGTGTCTCCAAAAGATGGGTTGGTGGCCAAGTGAAAGGATTTTCGGAATGAATTGACAGGCTTACGAAAGAAAAATAAATGTTTAACGTTTATTGTTCACCCTAAAAAGGATGGGAGAAGCACATTTCCCTTAAACAATATTTTTGATGTTTTCGTCTATTAATCACTGCCCAAAAACTTTATCTTTATATTCAGTATAATCCTAATTCAAATAATCAAAACCTTTAGTACAGGTAAACTGGGTGCCAAGCCACCGACCACCGCTGGTTGCATCAGCCACGTCTCTGCGAATCCGCATACCACAGTGAACAGACAAGCATATTACCATACAGCTGCATGCTACTAAGGGACACCGATGTGTCTTCCGACAGCAGAAAAAATGAATGATATTCTAATTAGCAGCCATCACGCATTGCTTCAATTCATCACACCAGGTGTCAAGAGACGACGTCTGCAGTGGCTTTTAAAACAGCTATTCAATGATGAACTTACGAATGCATAGTGCCAGAGGGTTGACCAATGGACCCGACCGGATGGGTGGAGGGGACGACGACTGAAGAGTGAATACATAAATATTTACATAATGTCCTTATAAATGGCTGAAATATAGACATGTACAAACAAATGCACGCCTCGATATAGCTACACTACACGCCGAACCCATCTTGAAGGAAAGGATTTCTGTATCAAAGCAAGCGTTCGCTTGCGCGCGTGTTCATCCGATTTTAGAATGAATCTATTCATAGAGATAGCTGGCAAAGGAGGGTCCGGATGAAAAACAAAAACAAATAAAGGTCAGGATCACAGCGTTGCGAACTGATGATCTGTACAAAAAAGCAGCTAGATCTTTAATAGGCATGACACCCTAAGGACAGAGCGTCCCTCTCCTTCACACAACAACTATGATCGCAGAGAATCTTGGCAGGCAGCTTGAAGTTGTTTTTTTTTTTTAGCGGCGATGAATAGAGTCTGGAGTTGGACGTCATTGGAGATTTAAATGTAAGCATGCTCATTGCCAAGTCCTTCACAGAACAACGTTAATTGCATCCTACAGTGATGAGCAAGGTTAATTAAAGCAAATAGCAAAGTTCATCTATAAGATAAGAAATGTTTATTGTTAACTAAAGCCGGGTGATAAAGAGCACTTCGAAACACAATAAAAGACCAGAAAAGAGTAAACAAAGCACATCTTAAGACAAAAATAGGGACAACCATTCGCCACTGCACAACCGCAGCGTACCGAGGTCTTTGGAATAATAAATCATCATTGAGAACGCCCAATCCAGCAATCGGGTACACGACCCAGTAGATAAATTGAGACAATTTTGGTTTAACCAATGTCCATCACAGGACAGGATTTTGCCATGGTCGCAATACGGCCCAAGTCTGGCTATCTCTGCACGCTTCTGCAGCAGTTTGCAGCCTGCAGACTCCCGCTAATGCGCCGCTCATAGACTGATGGGTCAATGAGCGGCGGTGCAGGCTGCTGCCTTACTCGCGTCAGCGCACCCTGGGCAATCGGCACCACTCCCCGCGTCAACCTGGTCGGTCATCTGTCTTGGACGAGAAGACGTCATCCCGGCGAGACAGGCGGGCAGACAGACGGACAACGTGATGGGTCCGGCCTTGGCGACAATCGCAGGCGCCTCGGACCACCGTGAGGGGCACCGGCGCAATGGACGTAATCACCAAATAGCTCGGTCACTCATAGTACTTACAACCACTGCGGAGTTGCCCGAGTAGGCAATGACAGCTCCCGCAGGGTGGCGTGAGGGATCGACTCAGCAAGTGCCACCATTTGGTATATGCGTATTGAGTCGAACCCGCCACATGGTAAGAGTCGGACGAGTCGACCCCGTTTTATGCCATAAACGTATTGGAGAGGTACAGCCACTTCACGATAAAGTAAAACGCAGTTTAAACTTCCGCTTCATTCATCAAACCACTTGTGTGTATACAGGGTGTAACGAAATTATCCGGACATCTTTCTTCGCGCTGTAATTAAGAAGCAAGACATTCTGATATTTTCCCTTTTGAATTATTATATAGCCACCTTTCATAAGAGCGCAGGTACACATTTTTGGAGCATTCCAGCCACTGGATTTTCCAGCACAGTGGGTTTCATATAGAGTAGCGCCTTACTAACCTGTGCCCGCAGTTGGGCGGCGCTGGTGGCGGGTGTCCCCTCATTCATCTCCTGATGGACAATAGTCCATAATATATCGACGGAATTGCATGGGAACTATTTCCAAGCCATAGCCCTTTAGCCCAGAAGAACAAAAAGATCCTCTCGGCATCACTTCTCATTCTGCTAGGGACTTGAAGTTGGTGCGCCGCCCCGTATGAAGACTGCGCGGCTTGAATCAGGTATCGGTACACGTTCAGAAACCGAGCCATCCTGTGCCGTCTGGTTGAGTGGCTCCAACCAATCGCTAGCCAGGATGTTGCGCCGGTAATACTCGTCACTGATAGTGGTTTTCTGTGTCGTCATGAACAGCTTGAATATTACACAGCAGCTGAACATGCTCCAGGTCTGGATTTTGGCTGGATGTTTGACGCCGGCGACGGCCGGCACATTCGAGCTGCTGGCAGCCCACACATGGCCGATTTGACGGTTCAACGGGTATCGCAGCTCGAACAGCTTCCCATCCGACCAGGTCACCTCATTCGTGTCTTCCTTCGACCAGTGGACACGCCCTGGCCTGAAGCCAAAGGTGGTGGACTGGTTGTTTTCCCGTCAATTTCATTGTCTTTTCCAGTTTGAAGGGCAGTAAAACCAAGCTAAAGGGCGGGTAACGGTGAATCATGATGTGGGACCTCTTATTATCTACCTTGGTAAGAATTCGAGTCAGTATGCGGATTAATTGGTGCCGTTTCCTTGTCGCTATCTGGACAACTCTCCTCACCACTTGGCAAAGGGCGCCTTTTGCGATCGAGGCCGGGCTGAGTCTGCCACCAAGTCCCAGCTTATTACGCCTCAGGCAGATGTGCTACTGGCTGCTGCTGATGTCCAGCTGCTGACAGACCAGCTTCTGGCTCATGCCACCATGCCACCAACACGTAGCCTTACTACGAAACGAGAGACTGTACTCCTTTCTCTCCACTGCCTTAAACGAAAACTATCAAATGAACCCGTCGGCGACTCGACTCTTACTCAGAGCAAGAGTCATTTCGCAAGGTCAGGTCACTGCTGAGTTGAGAGCAGATACCAGAGGTATGCATTCATCCAATATTCCAGCTTCTGACATTAAAAGAGCAACTGTGCGAGCAGATATGGCGAAAAAATAGATGTCCGGATAATTTCGTTACACCCTGTAGTGTGTATGTGCGATACTGATGTGTGCATGATGTGTGAACCAGATTTAACATCACCAGGGCCAACCGGCATTCGTGATTGTTGTTAATACATGATACATGATACATTCATTCAGCATTTCAAGCAGTTCAAACTAAATACGTTTAATATGGTAGATGAACGTCAAACGCCGTCACCGTAGATCGTTTTATATGAGCTCGGAGGCGGGCATTACATGCACACTTGGCTATCACGGACAGACATACCTACGCACTCATTTGGAAACAAACCACAGCCATTAGACGCACGCCATCAAACCACTTACGTCTTTATATTGTTAATAACCGTGCAACGCTGCGCGGAAACTGCTTGCAATGCTCCGCACATGATTCTCTCCTTATCGTTTCCAACAGACATCTATCTCCTTTGGACTTTTCTTCTGTTATTCAATGGCTTGCGGTTTTAACTTCTATCCTTTCTCGCTACAAATAAATGTAACTTTTCAAGACTCGTGCCAATAAAGATTAAAACAGTGACTAGAACGTTTCCAAAACGCAAACGTCCCACCTTGATAAGCCGCCTTAATAATTTAACCCGGCAGTTGCTGGGGTATTTCGCCACCCACCGTTTGCTGGGGGGGGGAGGCGTTAAACGCCCCCAGCCGATAACTCGAGAACCAATAGGCGCAGCGAAACGCACGAGGCGGCAAACGAAAGAACGCGACGAGACGCTTCAGATGATTACTTTAAAGTTGAATCTTGAGGTCACAGGTCGGGTCAAGGTCAGGTCAAACACCTGAAATCGGGCTTTCAGTAGCATGGACTTCAGGACTTCGCAATGGGCGCCTCTCGTCACAAACTCTGTCAAAACGGTGCACAATCCATCATATAAGGTCTACAAAGAGTGTCAGCTCCATGTAGCGGTCAAACAAGCATAGGTCAGGGTCAAGGTCAGGTCAACCGGGTAGGCATATATCCCCGAAAATCAAAGCTGATATTCGCAGCCTGTGACACATGTTTTTTGGGTAATTTGGGGCGTAGAACACGATGGTGACATTCATTTTGTCATATGTGTACGTGTTTGGCTAAAGAAGTTCAATTTAAGAAATGCATGTATCATGGTCGTGAAGAAGTCACGAGAAATTGCCAAGGTTCAGTTCAAGATTTTGGAAAATGCGGAACGATAATCAATAATCGAAGATAGCCATTTGATTTTTCAAGGTATTGGCAGTCTAATGGCGTTTACGGCATGTCTGTATGTCTATTTTGTGATTTTATATGATTTTTTGAACATATGCCGTTTTTGGTCGAAAATTCAGAAATCATGACGTGACTAAAATCTCGATATCTCAAAAATTTTCCGACCGATTTTTTTGAAACTTTGTCACAATACACTTCAATCAATTCCCTACAGGTACCCAAAATTTGGCGCGCCTGCGGCGCGCCGTTTTTATGCTATGGCCCGGCGAAAAAAGTGGGGGCGTTTAACGCCCCCCCCCCCCCCAGCAACTCGCGGGTTAACACCCATGTCACCTTGAACACCATACATACTTTTTTTGGAAAATATATTTCACTCTTTACAGTACACTGATAAAAACATTGCGCATTGTTGATAAGTTCAGTCACATTGAGCTACTAGCCAAAGTACATTACACATACGATTATCATTTGCAAAAACGTATGCATATTCGCGGGCACATTTGCACTTTACGCAAGCCACTTCTTCCGGAGAACTGACCGATACCACACACCAAAGTCTGGTTCGAGCCAGTATTCACCTGGGTCGCGGCGACAGGACTAGTGTCAATCACTTGGGGTGAGCACAAAACCGAGAACTTTGCGGAACACCGCCAATGCCGAACGACACGAACAAACCTAAACTTTAACAAAGGAGATGTATGTATTTGATGTCATCGCATGAGAAGCACCGGCTCCGAAAGACGCATCTGGATCGTGAACCGATCATGGAGGGTGGGGCGCGTTCGGTGGTTTCTCGTCCCGTGGCCCGGCTGCTAAGCCCCGGCCCGGTGTCCGGTGGCGGAAGCTGTGGTCGACCGCAGGCGGTCCCTGGCCCCGATCCGGTGTCATCATGTCAATGGTCCTGTGGACCTGGACACGGGACCATGGTCCGCAAAGCTTAACCTGCCGGCTCGGTGGTCTAGTTGGTGGTTCGGTGGGACCAATGGTCCACCGTGCGACCATGCGTGTGCGGTAGTCCGCCATGGGAGGCCTTGTTTATTTTATGTTTATTCTAACACCAGCGTGGCGGCTGGTGTGCTCATCTTCAGATGTATTTTGATCCCAGAGCAAACACGGGAATGTGAAGGACCAGCGTCATCTGGTAGCCCTTTAGGTTCGTCCGACGATCACCCGTTATTCGACTCGTTGACTGGTCGCCAGCGGATCGTTCGCTGGGCCCCGTCCTGTTCCAAGCCTTCTCGCCACAGCTACCTCGGAGCAGTCGTGTCACAAGCGGCTGTATTCGTGGAAGAAGGAGCTCTTGCGCACACTGTCCCACATTCGCACGGCGTAGTGATACCTGTCGTGTCAGAGACGGATTTGATAATATTCTCTCGTTTGATATATCCTTGGAGTACAAGACAAAGCTGAATCTAAGAAGAAGCCTTGACTGCTATAAGAAACGACCACTCGACTGTGTCAACATATTCAATTATCTTTATCATAAATCACATCTTTAATTATTGCGATATTATGTTTATTTAGTATTATGTGATGGCAGTCACCTTGCAGTTATTTCGATACCATATCTATATGATAGTTATTATATAATGGTAGGCATGAAGCCTAGTAGGTACACATTTGACAGTAGCTTACTATTTCATCAGTCTAACGGTTGTGATAAATCACACAATTGATCCCCTTGGAAACTGATAACGGATATAAACAGGACGTAAGGATTACACAAACCCAATGGATAAATACTCCCAAGGGGAGGCAGAATTGGCTATTTCCACAGACCTCTGAACACCAAGCAAAGAGGTGTAGAGATCTATGTATATTACCTCTCATTTCCAATAAATCAGTGAATGCTCTTTGCAGAATGATACGGAGTACGGACGAAGCCGCAGCTGGAGTCTCATTTGGAAATTATCCGCCTGGATGCCCGTGTCGGCAGTGTCTGTGTCTATCCGGCCGAGAGGGGGGTGTATCGCCGCCGCCGTGACATGGTATCACGGCCGGAGCACCGGGCGTGACACGACCAGTGACGGCGTGAGACGGCAGCGGCCGACGACCGGTGTCTGGTCGCTGCGTCACCGCCCCACAGGGCGGCAGAGTCGTGACAGCGCCCCCGGCAGAGGAGGGGATCGAGGTCGGAAAGTTCCGGCGGACAAACCCCAGCACCAGACAGCCCTCGTTCTGTTTGGACACATGAGCTTACTACTGGGACAGACGACTTAACACGGAGGCGTGTATCCAAAGGAGTGGAGTAAGGGCTCTGAAGATCTATGTCAGCTAGTCCTAATCCATATCCACGGCTTGGTGGATGAGGAGCGCCACATGTCAGCGCGCAGTGGAGGGCGGGGTGTGTTCCAAGGGCCGTATACACGTTGGATAGAGGTAGGAGGAGATATGTAGGGAATAGAGGAGAGAGAGAGAGAGAGAGAGAGAGAGAGAGAGAGAGAGAGAGAGAGAGAGAGAGAGAGAGAGAGAGAGAGAGAGAGAGAGAGAGAGAGAGAGAGAGAGAGAGAGAGAGAGAGGGAGAGGGAGAGAATGAGAGAGAGAGAGAGAGAGAGAGAGAGGGAGAGAGAGAGAGAGAGAGTGAGAGAGAGAGAGAGAGAGAGAGAGAGAGAGAGAGAGAGAGAGAGGGGAGAGGGAGAGAGACCGGTGAAGGATCGTCCACTCCATCTGACGTACCAGTGTTTCTCGGAGAGCGGCTGGTTGGAGAGCGGCAGCTGCGGCAGTCGAAACACCTCTGACCGCAGCGCCTCCACCAGCGTCTGTAGGCCCCAGTGACCGGTCAGGTCACACTGCAGCGGCTCCTGCTGGCCGGCCTCATCATCTGGAACACAGCGGTGGGTCAGTCACTGAGAGAATCGACTCTTGTTGAGAGCAAGCTTAGGCCGAGTAGGATAGAGGAACAGAAAGGGCCAAGCACAGGGCGGAGATGAGCTACAGTATGAAGGGTCAGAAGAAGAACTGTTGAGATAAGCTCAGATCACAGACAAATCAGCCGGTTTATGGTAATCTGGTGTAAAAACTTCCAACTCTCAGGTGACCCGTTGTGCCGTTAATCAGTAACCTGGTGTGCCGCCCGCCGCCGATCAGACTAGCCTGTGACCCCGGCTGGACCCCCTGACCCCGGGACGATGCCAGGAGCGCCACCGGCTGGCAGGACGGCTCTATATCGGTGTGGGCGGCGGCGGCTGGGACAGGGGCAGGGCCAGCCAGGTGGGCTGCAGGGGACGGCCCGAGTGTCAGACCGTGATCCCGTACTTCTATATCGGCCCGAACACCACGCCATCACCTGACGAAATAGGTCCGTCGGCCCCCTCCCAAACACGGGCCGACGCCAAGTGTCGGCATGCCGCGGCTGGCATTTATGACAGCAGTCGCAACGAAAAACAACAAATAACTTTGAGAGCTGCTTGGTCGAATTATCTGTTCATGAATATCATAAAATGTTCATTAGCCCTCGCACTTGTAAAGGGGGGGAGTCGGATGGACCCCCTCGGTTTCTCGCGAATATCTCGCTCAAAAGGCGGCCGATCGCGACGAAACATTCAGTACCCTCGAGTTGATCAATTTTACACCTACCCTGAAAATGTCATGGCCACTGCTCCAAATGACCTTTGACCTGTGACCTATTTCACGAGACCTTGTTTAGCTGGAATCGCGATTCGGCGTATGTCAGCTCACATTATCCACGCGTTTGCAGTCTTTTGTGGTTTTAAACATTCAAACATGTGAAATAATGTTGGTCCCATGCATTATGGTGACTGTCAAGTTCACGAGAAAGTAAGGTCGGGTCACTGACCTGTGGTGACCTTGGTTCGCTTTTGCGAGTTTTACACGTTTCTAGGCTGTTTTTTTTTTTAGCTGATTTCGAGTTTAGCAACCATTTGAACATTTATGCAAAAGTTTTGGTGCCTTCGTAACATGTTACGAAGCTGTCAAGTGTCAGTGGTAGTTGACACCTACTATAAATACCTGGCATTACGCCTCCTGGTTGACCTGACCTGACCCGACCCGACCCGACCTGGCCTAAATGCATGAAACATCTGTGATCAAAACTAGCATGAAATTCGTGATCAGCGCCCCGAAAAAAAGTATCAGCTTCCCTTTACGAAGTTCTAGCGGGTCCCAATTTTCCCGAACTTTGGGTCATTGACCTGACCTGGAAGGTCAACCAATGACCTAGGACCTTAAAATTGGGTATCATCGGCTTCCTCTCGTCACGGAAAACACGCTCGTTTTTTCCACGAGGCTCTAGCTCAATCAGGGGCCGAACGGTAGAGGGGTATAACCGACCCCCCCCCCCCCCCCTACACATTAGACGCCGGCAAACGCCGCACACATGCGAGGGCTAGAGCCACGTCGATCGCCATCAATATTGGTACGAGCAGCGTATGTACACATGAGCTAGTCTGAAGATCGTGTGTATTCGGCATGGTAGGGCGACCACACTAATGCCTGAGACGTTGTCAAAGACCCTTGCATGTCGGCACTCTACGTTACTTCCTGATAGCAGTTTATTATTGTCACTTAACCATGATGGGCGCCACTTGCCCGTCACGGGCTTATGCAAACAGACGCGATCCGGAAGGCTTTGTTCATTGTGCACACAAATATCGTAGGTAGTATAGTAAGTAGGTGAGGTCATTAGAGTGCCACAATGGAAAGATAACGAGGGAAAAGAAATGTGATTAAATTCATAAAAAAGAACATCTGGTTTGTAGTTTAAATTTTGCATTGGTAAGTCGTTACAGATATGGCTGGAATAAACCATCCAAGAAGCATGGTGCAAGCCTTTGCCACGGTCATTCTACCTACACCCATCTGATTCTTCTCCCCAGACAAAGCCCAAATCCTCTGACCCAAGCTCGTTCCAACCCAAATTTTCAAAAACCCAAATTTTCCAACCCAAAATTCCAAATTTGGTTGAAACTGAACCCGACAGCAATCCTTCACTTTGCGCCTGTTTGCAACAGCGCAAAACACAAGTCAAACTTAAAATGACCTGGCAAAAAAAAAAACAGAACTCAGTTTGACCGAGCTCATCTAAGCGTATACAATGTAGCTCTGGATATCGTCCACAACACAACCCGTGCGGCGCGGGAGATGTGCCACAGCGGGCCGCGGCACGGACGCACTTCGCTCCCACACTCAGGAACTGGTGCGTGAAACCAGCATCTGCTCATGGCTACCCGGTGCACTTCCTCCTCAGGCCAGGCTCCGGGGATGAGAGCTGTTTGTAAACACCGCCCAACGATCACACGCTCGGGTACCCGCGTCCTTCCACGCGCTCGCAGAACAAACGCGAGTCGCGTGATGGCAAACACGCAATCAAACACGGAGTCCCTAATGATGGGTCTGTTTACGAAGAGACACGCGAGGTCATGTCATAATCATACCGTTGCAACGGTATGATTCACCAAAGCGTTGGCGAAACCACGAAATTCGCCTCCTGGACAGGTAGCATGAAGAGCCTGTGCAATGACTACACAGTAAAGCATATTGCACAATGTTTGCTTTCGGCAGTTTTGAACGGAAGGCAAAAAAGAGACTGCATCACGCAGTTGAAGCATCCCATTTTTCTATCCCCTGATACATTGAGAGTGGACTTTGACCCGCGCCCAGGGCGAAGTCTGACATGCGTTGTCTGTGACCTCTTACCTGTGTGCTGTGAACCTCCGACCTGTTTATTGTACCACATCTGACCTGAGGGTCATGTGACCCCTGACCTGTAACCTTTGACCTGCACGCTGTGTAACCTCTCCCCTCTGAGATCTGCATACTGTGAGATATCTGACCTACCCGCGACGCTGTCCAGTGCCGCGCCCGGCGCCCGTACCTGCTACGACGCCCTCCTCTCCAGGCAGGAACTCTGGCAGCAGCAGCAGGTTGACGGGCGGACCGGTGGTCTCCGGGCTCGCCTGGGGCAGCACGCCGCCACTGCCCACTCCAATGTCGCTGGTCACACACAGACTCGACTGACTGAACGCCGACCGGTAAAACTCCTGAAAAACACAGAGAGAGTGGCTGAATACAGACCGGTAAAACTCCTGGAACAAACACAGAGAGTGGCTGAAAGCAGACCGATAAAACTCCTGACAAACACACAGAGAGTGGCTGAATACAGACCGGTAAAACTCTTGACAAACACAGATTCGATTGGCTGAACGCCGACCGGTAAAACTCCTGACAAACACAGAGAGTGGCTGAAAGCGGACCGGTAAAACTCCTGACAAACACACAGAGAGTGGCTGAATACAGACCGGTAAAACTCCTGGAACAAACACAGAGAGTGGCTGAATTGAGACCGGTAAAATTCCTAAAACACATATGCGACCGCAGACTTATCACTCTGGTCACCCAGAATACAGTGGCGCAAATAGGCAAGCTTCCCGGAATACACACGCATAACCAAACGCTTGACACTCTGGTAGTACAGCGTATAGCAAACACGCATCGGCCAGGGGTCCAGTATGTCGACGAGGTTTCACTCTGAAAGACAACAAGGAACTATGTTTCGGCATAGTTCAAACCATATTTGCATTCCTTTCCAATGTCAGCAGCAGACACTCCCATCACTTACCAGAATGACGCGGACGACATCAATCAGAATCGAGCCCGAGAGGCCATACCGTCGCTACGTGTCACATGGGTAAATATTCTTCCAGGCACACGGCGTAGTAAGCCCGCCGGTCCGTGTTTTTCTGTTGCATCACCCAGCTGCCCGGCTAGTCCTGTGATCCAGCTAGTCAGTCCTGTGACATATGGTATTAAAGGCGCGGCAGACCGGCGGTCCGCAGATGGAAGATGCACCGCAGTCGCCGGCCAAGTAGCCCAATAAGTATAACCGTATTACGCATCCCATGAAGGATCCAGAAAAGTGGTGTTTGACGGTGCGAAGGCACATGCACTTGTCTGAGGCTGTCCGCTGCGCTACCTGACATTGTCTTATGTTGTCCGGTACTTTACCTGCACTTGTCTGACACAATCCGGTACGTTACCTGCAGTTGTTTGACGTTGTCCGGTACTTCATCTGCAGTTGTCTGACACCATCCGGTACGTTACCTGCAGTTGTCTGTTATCCTGTACGTTACCTGCAGTTGTTTGACGTTGCCCGCTACTTCACCTGCAGTTTTCTGACACCGTCCGGTACGTTACCTGCAGTTGTCTGTCCGGTCGGTATCTGCAGTTGTTTGACGTTGTGCGGTACTTCACCTGCAGTTGTCTGACACCGTCCGGTACGTTACCTTTACCAGTTCAGCTGTTACCAGTTCAGCTGAGCGCGCCGCTGCGTGCGGTCGCGAGCGCTGCTCGCTCCCGACCCTTCTAGCCGCTCTGTGCCTGTCCTGCGTGAGAGCGAGTGTGAGAGCGATTGGAGTGAGTTGTGGCCGTGCCTTGAGCTCTCTAGTGACACTGAGGTGACGTGGTCATGCATCGGGACCTCACCCGCCTGTTAGTACTACTCGCCGTCGTCCGTGTTCTGGTAACGGCGGCCTGCCCGGCCCCCGTGCCGGTGACGGAACCAGCCAAGCACCGAGACTAAGACCAGCAACTGCGACGCGGCGTCGCTCACCGGAGACCGGCCTGTCCTCGGAGCCGACGTGATGCTGTGGTGACACCTTCACCGACACCTTCACCGACGCCTGACCGCGGTCGTGACGCCGTGCGGCCCCGGGCCGACCCCGCTCGTGCCCGGCCTGCCGCCGGCCGCCCGGCCGCCCGGCCGCGGGGGCCGGCGGTGGGCGGATCGCCCGAGCCCCGGCGTACCTCGCTGACGGCCGCGGACGGGCCGCCCGGGCCCCGACCGGCGGCTGAGCTCGGCCGTGACCCGCGACTGGTCGCGCCGGCCCGCGGTGGCGGGCGGCGTCCGCAGCGCCGCGGAGCGCGCGGCCGCCGGGGCCGGCGCGCCGGGACCGTAACGGCGGGCGGCCTGCTGGTTGGCGCGCTGAATGTGCAGTCGCTGCTGCCGAAACTGCCTGAACTAACAGAAGAGCTCCATCACAGTAAATTTGACATTTTGATTCTGGCGGAGACGTGGCTGAAGCCCTCCGTCCCCGACCGACTGCTAGTGCTGCCCGGCTATTCCGTGCAGCGCGTTGACAGGCCGGGCGGACGCGGCTACGGAGGTGTGGCCATCGCCACGAGAGACGGCCTGTCGACGGCTGCGTACCGGCCGGCGACGCCGCGTCCTCAAGACAGCCGACTGGAGGCCGTCTGGTCGACGGTGACGCTGGACCGCGGACGGCGCCTTCTGATCGGCTCCATCTACCGGCCGCCGCGCTGCACGGCTGCGGCGCTCGACGCCGACTTCGGGGACCTGGAGGCCCAGCTACAGAGGGCGCTGCTCGATCACCCGAATGTGACCATTATTATTGGCGGGGATCTGAACTGTGACCTCCTCAAACCCCCTCCGGCACCAGCCAGAGCTCGTTTAGAAGTGTTTTTAGATGATTACTCGCTCTCTCAACTAGTGACTGGCCCGACATTTACCTCTGGATCGCTCTTAGATGTTCTCATTGTCAATCGTCTTAACGTAGCAACGCCGCGCCGCAATAAACATTGTGATTTTAGCCCACATCGCATCGTTAGTTGTAGCCTCAGTGTGCCGCGCCGTCCACGATCGCACACTGTGGTGTCGCGGTCACGCCCACTCGCTAGGATAGACTCGGGTGCGTTTCTGTTCGATTTACAGTGCTGTGACTGGAGTGACGTTTTTACATCTGAGACGGTCGATGGGAAGTGGCGAGCTTTTTTATCACTCTACATACCTGTTCTGGACAAGCACGCGCCGATACGGAGCCGCAAGGTTCACAACCCATCTGCCCCGCCGGTCACGGCCGCCACTAAGGACTTGATGGCGAGCCGCCGCGGCGCTCTGCGCACCCTCGGCCGTGACTCGAGCGAATACCGCGATCTGAACCGATCTGTCCGGTCCGCCATCCGCCGCGACACGCGCCTGGCCATAGAGTCCCGTATCAAGGAGCAGGGACCCCACACCGTGTGGCGCAACATTCGGAGTGTTGTTGCTGGCCGGAAGCGAGATGTCACCTCACCACAGCTATCACCGAGCGCGCTGAATGAGTATTTCGTGTCTGTCGGGCCGAGGGTGGCGGCGGAGGTGGCCGATGCGGCCGAGCACGCGGCAGACCTGCCCTGCCGCCTGCCGCGTGTGGGGGCCTGCGGCTTCTCAGTCTCTCCCATCGACCTCGATACGCTGACGATCGCGCTGTACAGCATGAGGAACTCGCCTGCGTGCGGATCTGATGGTTTGTGTGCTCGTGCTCTGAAGGCTGGCTTCCCCGCCGTCGGCTATGTCATCCTACATATCATTAACGCATGTCTCACCCAATCCGACTACCCTCCAACCTGGAAACATTCGCTCATTCACCCCATCTTCAAGACCGGCGACCCATCCGATCCTTCCAACTTCCGTCCTATTTCCATCATCCCCACCATCGCCAAACTAGTAGAGCGCGTTGTCCAGCGGCAGCTTTACCATTACCTATCCTCCAACCACCTCCTATCCCCCAGCCAGCACGGTTTCCGTCCGCGCCATTCGACGGAAACCGCGCTGGCTACCGTAACCGACCAAATCCTCACAGCTGCCGACGGCGGGGAGATCACCCTCTTATGTCTTATTGACCTGAGCAAGTGTTTTGATATTATCGACCATGACATTTTACTTCGGAAACTCGAGCTGCACGGTGTGGATGTTCAGTGGTTTAAAGCTTACCTGACCGGCCATACCCAGAGTGTGTCACTCAGAGACCACACTGGAGCTGCCAGCGTCTCCCCGCCGATGCCGAACTCGATGGGGGTTTTCCAGGGGTCTGCCCTGGGCCCCCTCTTGTTTACCGTGTTTGCAAATGACATGTCACTGTTCGCTGCGGGTGCAAGTGTCGTGCAGTACGCTGACGACACCCAGGTGATTGTCTCTGGCAAAAAGAACGAACTTTCGGCTGTTATTCATAGCATGGAAAATTCATTGACTGCTTTGGATCAGTGGTTCTGCGCAAACGCCCTTAAAGTAAACGCAAACAAAACACAGCTCATCACTCTCGGAACAGGTCAAAATTTGCGCGGCCTTCCAGACTTCAAAATTGCCTTCCGCAACACTGACCTCGTACCTTGCCGCGAGGTAAAAAATCTTGGCGTTATTTTCGACCAGAAATTATCATGGGACAGTCACGTGGGTGTCGTCGGCAGGCGATGCAGCGGTACTCTTGTCGCGCTGTCACATGTCCGTCACGTCCTGCCTGTCGGTGTCATCAAGACACTAGTAGCCGCCTTGGTTCTCTCGCAGGTCACATACTGCCTTTCCGTCTACGGCAACGGCACTAAGAAAAACATTGACAGAATTCAAAAGGTACTGAACTTTGCTGCACGAGTCATTTTTGGAAAGAGAAAATTTGATCATGTTAGTGACCTGCGCGGGAAACTTGGCTGGCTGCCCGCTCAGCACATGGCCGACCACCGTACACTGTGTCTGGCGCACAAGGTGATTGCTGGTGGCGAGCCCGAGTCACTGGCGGCTGCATTCGTGTGCAACGGTGACCGGCGGTCCCGGCGCACGAGGCAGGACGGACAACTCTACGTGCCGAGGTCCAACACCGAGACCGGCAAGAGACGCTTTTGCTCGAGGGCACCTGCCCTCTACAACCGGCTGTCGAGTGACCTGACACCGCTTAGCCAGCAGCGTTTTTCACGTACCGTGAAGAGACGCCTGCTGGATCTCCACCGAACGTGACCGTTCCGACAGCCGTCGCCGCCACAGCACAGGGGTAGCCCTGTGTACCGTGTATGTGTGCGTGTGTGTGTGTGTGTGTGTGTGTTTTTTTTTATCCATGACAGCGACCATGTTTGACTCGGAGCTTAATAGCCACACTTTGAGTGGACCGCTCTACGATGGCAAATACAAATACAAATACCTGTAACTGTCGGATTCTGTCCGGTACGTAAGTGCAGTTGTCTGTCATCCGGCACTTTACCTGCAGTTGTCTGATGTTGTCTGGCTGGAAGTGGGCCAGCGTGCTGCGGTTATGGACAAAGACGAGCCGCGGGTAGTGGTCGGTGGAGGAGTCGTCTCCGGACGGAGCAGAGGTCGACGACGGCTTCAGCATCTCGGCCGTCTGCAGCAGCCTGAGGGGGAAGACGGACGGGACGTCTGACTGATGGAGACAATGGTAGAGAGGCAGACACAACAGCCTGAGAGTGGGACGACTGATACATACGACTAGTACAGCCACAGGCAGACAGGCAGACAAGCGGACATACAAACACAGCAGCCTGAGGAGCGAGATGAACATTGAAAATACGGTCTCTACGGCAGCCTGAGGAGGAAAGGGGGCGTTCAACTGACGGACAGACAGACGATAAACAGACAAACTGCTTAGGCAATGATCTAAACAGTTAGCACTTGAGATCAGAAGAACCGCAATAGACAGTAAATATCATGAACGTGCCGTTTGAAGGTAAGTCATCAGTCCCTGAAGCTATCACGTTACAGTCAGCGCCTGACCGACCACTGACCATCAGTCTCATCCGGCGTCAAAGTATACAGAGCTCATGACCTCACGTGCCACTTAAATGGATTGAACTTGAATGACATGTTAAAAACATGGGGTGGGCGCCGCCTAAGCGCCTGACGCTGTTGTTGACTAGCCACGAAAGGTCAGACTTGACGACCGGCTATCGCTTGGTGGAGCTCTAACAGTGAACGCGATGACATGATAGATGAACGGCAAACTACGGATAGGCTTCGTAAGAGCTTCGTAAGAGCTAGGGATCGAAGGCTTCTTTCCTCGATGTCGTACCTCCATCAGTTCCCGAGCTATGAGTCGATATCAAAATATCAATATCGGAGAAAAGCGACCTTCGAAGACCTACGGACACTGTACTCTGCCGACTTGACATAAGGCCTGACTCAAACAGTTGATTGGTGCATTTTTAAAGAAAAAAGATGATGACCATTCGAACGCAAATTTAAGCTCGCTATGTGGCTTAGGAGCTATACACATTATATTTACCCCCTGTATATTTACAAGAGGTGTGAGAACGCACTCCATCGCCTTGATGTGCCATGATCCAACGAATGCACTCGACATACCTAATTGTTAATATTATCCTCCAATTATAATTGCTATCAGTACCATAGCAACAAATATAAATAAACACCAAAACTATGTGGATAATACGTCATCCAGCACTGGATTTATGACATGAGCGGATTATTTACACACGGAGTCGCACGCAGGCCCTGTCGGCGCGCTCCGATCTGCGCCGCTCGTTTTCGCCATCATCCTCGTAGGACACACACAAATAAACAGCGAGGCTGAGTGAGTCGGTATCCGGTGTCCGCCGGCGCGACGGAGACCCATGACGGGTGGAGACGGAGCCCCGGTGTGACCGTCCGACCGTCACCGCGAGCCCTGACAGCGGCCGACGGCGCAGCCCGCCCCGCCGCCCGCCCACCGACCCCTCCCGCAGCTCGACGAGCTGAGGGGAGGGGTCAGTCTGGGGGGGTCTGAGGGGGTTCTGGGAGGGGAGGAGCTCGGAGATCGGTCACGTCAGGCAGCTGCAGCAGCTCCCTGCTTATTGACACGGCTGCAGCCGCAGAGGAGGCGCTGTGACCAGGCCACCCGAGCTCCGTGCACGTGCGCCATGGGTGTCCGAGTGGCCCAAAGAACCGTCGCCTCCTCCATGACGACAGACTGGGTGTCCGCCACTACGGCACCCACCAGGGCCACAGTCCGCCGACGGCGTTGCATCATCATAGAGAGCTGTTAAAATTGTCTCTGCCGCATTGGGGGGAGGGGCGGCACGGTAATGAGCCAGGTGCTGATGACCTGATAATTAATTAACTACAGGCGACCCACCTACCAAGCGCTGGCGGTTTTCGGCTCCGGCGTTTCCAATTCCGCCTAGCCGCAAAGTACTACCATTACTGCCGCGCTTCTCGTGCTCCAATCCGTTTCGTATACTGGGTCATTGCCGGTTTTCTAGGCTTCGCCACAATCCAAGCACATTTCGCACAATTCAACACCTGGTATGCCTCGCTCCATTTACGCGCCCTTCATCAGGCTGTCATTCATTTTACTCTACCCTCATTTCGTTCTTCCCGTTCCCTCATTTCGTTCTCCCCCGCCTGTTCACGTTTAGGTGCATGCAGCAAACGTCAGATAGAATTCATATTTATTCAGTGTACATACAGGAACAGAGAAAAGGACGCGGAGGTAGTATATAGAGGACCAGCATATTACGAGGACTCGTAAGACCGCATCACAGGGTACTAAGGCCTATGTAGTATGTAGGTATAGCGTACACGATACTCCCGTTATGTCTATCAGTGGCCAGGTGGCGGCAGAGTGGTAATGGGGATCACATTTACACAT